CACACGCACGCACGCACGCACGCACACACACACACACACACACACACACACACACACACACACACACACACACACACACACACACACACACACACACACACGCACGCACGCACGCACGCACGCACACACACACACACACACACACACACACACACACACACACACACACACACACACACACACACACACACACACACACATCCTCTTAGATACTAAAAATCACACATAGATATCACAGCTGCTTTCTCTGTTATCTCAGTGAAATTTCCTGTTGTTTAAACACAGTAAACATTGTTTATTCATATTTCGCTCATTCTCTGTGCCTCTCATCCTTCTACCCCCTTCTGTCTCTCCTTCAATCCTCCTCTCTGTGGGCCATCCGTGGAGCGTTCAAGCGCTGTGACGACATGCACCACTGAGTTCTCAACATCTTGTCTCGTCACGGCAATTACACACACATTCACACATATACACACATTTAACATTTAACAGTACACTCAAAACATCTTCCAAGTGTATTTTATATCAAACAATATATATACTCACATCGGTTATGCACAAAAAAATCTTGGGGGGATTTCGAATGGGAAAAACTCCTTGCATCTCAAACGGATTAATTTTTTCTATCACACTACAGTACAGCAAGACATATAGTTGAATAAAGGAGGGAGTGACTGAGGAAGGGAGCAGGTGGTCAGACATGGACTGGTCAGTGACCCCAAACATACTACTCTGAAACGATAAGGGTTTACTAAAAAGAATGCGATCAAGAAATGTTTACTTTGTGCCTCAAACTTGGTGCACATCCCAATGCTTATAAAACCAGTTTTTATTTTTGTATTAGTAGCAACAGCTGTATTGTTGAGGTATATGCCGCTGTTTCCCGAAACGGTGGGCGGGTTTAGTGTAGGATGTCATAGTATCACTTATGAGTACCTGAAGCATATGTACACAGTATCTGTAACCCTTATGAAAACAAATGTCATTGCTTGAAAAAAAACTGAGAGCGATATTGCAAAATCTCTTTTACTATGAGCGACATTGACACTGAAGACGCTGAGATTTATGGTTCACATAATCATAAAATGTAGCAGCCAATAACTGCAAACACCTTTGTTTTTGACATTCATGGGTCACTCTCACAGGCACACTAACAGTTGATTTTGCTTTTAAGAAATGTTGTGGTGCTTTCATTGTGAAAAACAAGTCACGTATCTATTTTCTTGTTAACTTATTGTGGGCTTTAATGTTGAAATATAAGTCTCATCCTGAGCTTCCCCATAGGAAAAAGCTACTCAATAGGGCTTTTACTTTGAAAAATCAAGCTTTGTTTTTTAGCTACCTATTGAGAAACACTTACTTTATGGGGCTTTAATCAAAGAAGGGTGCATGTGGGGGGGGGATTGTTATTCACTCTACCTTTTACAATGACTGACGCAGCATTTACACCAATGAGTATGACGAAAAGTAGACTAAACCTGGCAAAGCCTGGCACAAAGTGGCAAAGCCAGGCACACAGAGTTAACAGCAGCCTTTAAACGCCTCTGATGAATGATTTATAGTTTCCTTGTCTATAGTCAGTATTTAAAACACATGGGCAGAGCCAGAGGAGGCATGAATTATTCAGGTATACGGTATCTATGCAGCGCCGCTTTGACTCACACTGTAAGTAAAGCGAGAGAGCTGCATTTCAGTCTGTGAGCATCTATCCAGCCTGTTGATAAAGAGGGAACAATTAATGTTTTACAATAGACAGCAAAATCTGACAAATGAAGAGAGAGGGGTTAAAGAGATAATGACTAAGGCAATTTCCTGAATCAAAGCAATTGTGAGGCACGGCCATTATTCAACAATAATAGAAGAAGACAAAGGGGGACACGAGAGAAATGTTAGAACACTGCCTCACGAGAAAAGATAGATGAAAAAGAGAGAGGGGGTACGTTTGGTAAGCTGAGATTTACTGTCTGGGCTGTGAATGCAGCAAATAATAAGTCACTAGTTAAGCAGCTTCGATAGATCCTTAAAATCCATGGCCGTCTTGTCTTTGCTTTTTCAAGACATCATTCAGCCCCTGTTCCCTCCTCAGATAAACTGCTCTTACTTCAGCCCACAGAAAGATAACGTCTTCTCTGAAATGTTTAAAGGCGTCCTACAACTAGTAAAACAGGGGGCTGGGAATTAAAAAAGAAAACATGTTTTGTACAATGATGCAGAATAACAAGTCAGATCATTATACAATCAGCATTTTACCATACAAAACTGTGACGTCAGCTGACTGACTCATATTTTTACTGTCATTTTTGAATTAAGTCAAATGTAAGTTCAGAGAAAAAACAGGTTTCCAGCTAAGAGCAAACCGAGAGGAACACACCATATGCATATATGCTTGGCTAATGGCTAATAGAGGGCAGTAGTACAAGCAGGTTACTAATCAGGTGATAGGCAGGGGCAGAAAAATCATGGAAAGTGATTAGTGGAGAAATGAGGGATGACAGCATCGGAAAATTCTGTAATACATACTGAAGCTGGGAAAACAGGGTAAGATGCTAAACAGGGAAGAGAGTACAGGAGACTCTGATGGAAATGTTTCCATTAGGAGATTTTCTTTTCCTGATTTTCCTGAGTGTAGCATATTTAGATGGCTTTTCCTAGGCTTTGTGAGCATTCAAGGATGAAGAAGTGACATCTGTTTGTCCAGCTTTTTCAATAAGGGCATCAAGCAGTCCATTAAACAAACCCAAGCAAAGTAAAATGCGCCATTAGACAGTTGATAAACACGTCTGATGAATAGTTACTATTACCCTGATCATCAGAAAAGATCGATACACCGTAAACTCTTAGGAGCCATTTATTTCCAAAGCTCTTACATAAAATAGCACAATTAAACTGAGAGGGCTCAGAAAAAGTCATTAATTTTTTTGCAAGGACATCTGAATAAAGCTCAAGCTATTATCATTTCCTGCACAAGTTTTTTACAGAGAAAGAAGGAGAGTTTTAGTTTACCAACCCACCAAGGCACATGGCAAATGAAACATTGTTAACCACAAGATAAAAACAAATGAGGTCACTGTACTTGCGGTTTGCGGAGAGGGAAAGGCAAAGAGAGCGAGAGCTGGAGATAAAGCTTGAAAAGAGGGAGAACGGGTCAGACTGAGTGGGAGGAAAATAGAAATAGTGCAGGGGGGAGATTTGTTACTGTAATTGTGTTTGGAGCACTTGTTTACCCAGCAGCGAAGACAGGTAGGGGCTGCAGGTTACGAGATGGATAGATCAGCGTGAGAGAGACAGATTATTAATTGGATAGCTTGTCACAGTTAGAATGCTCATTCAAGCCAAATGGTGAAAGATGGATAACTCTGAATAAAGTGCTGATTCTAATCTATAGAAAATCAAAACACACATTGTACTAGTGTGTCTACAGTACAAGTCTACATGATTTGGTTCAAACTTTTTCCCTGGGTGACTCAATGTTTCTAGCTGATTGTTTTTGAAATATTCTTAAATATGCTCATGAAATGTACAAAAGAAACATGCTAAAAGACATGCTAAAGCTAACAGGTCCCAGGCAAAAATGCCTTATCTTGACCTGTTGGTCCATGTAGAAGATGTGTGAAAACCAATTAAAGTATACTAAAAAGATGTGGGGTCACTGGAAAACGTAATAAAAAAAGGAGAAAATAAGCACAATTAGAAGCTCAGTTCGTTTTGTGCCATCAAATGAATATAGTGGATTGTAGCATGTCTCCAGCATTATACTTGTACATGATTAAAAGGTCTTGCATGTTAATGTATAGGCCCATTGCTGTCATGGGTTGCAGAACGAACCTGTTATAATGAGGAAAGTCATGATAGATGAAATCTGATATTTTACTGTAGATTGAATCACACAAAGCTTCAAAAGGAAAATTGTGTGTGTGTGTGTGTGTGTGTGTGTGTGTGTGTGTGTGTGTGTGTGTGTGTGTGTGTGTGTGTGTGTGTGTGTGTGTGTGTGCATTAGAGAGCATTGTCCAGTATATCAGACAGCCCCTGTCATGTTCATGTCGCAGCAGCAGGGTATGGGAGGTGTTCTTGTCTCTGAGTGATGCGATGGCATGAACAGCATGGTTTAAGAGCTAAAAGAAGGTCATCGATGTCTCGCTTCACTATCTCTCCCTCCTTTTCTCTCTTCTCTCTGTTGCCCCTGTCATCCCTACTGGATGATCCCTCGCTCTCTCTTCCACCCCGGCTGTCTTTCTGTCCTTCGTCACGGGTTGCTGTGTTCCATTTCTTTTTCTTTCTTTTTGTAACTGCATCTTGCTCCGTGCTGAACTCAACTCCTCTGGACTGATTTTATTTGTGCGCGATTCACGGTCCATGGCAAGAAGTATTTTTAAACTGTGAAGTAAAAACTGTGAGACAGCTACACTACATACGCAGACAAGGGTCCCAGACCGGCCCAGGTTCGTCACTCAGTCCCAGGGAATAAGACGTGCTCCGAGCCACCAGACAGAGTCGCCAGATCCATCTCCTGTCATCATTTAGAGAGGCTGTGACCTCTGAGCAGCGAGAGGATCACCACCATTAAATTATTCACAACCCTTTTTTTTTTTTTTATGTGGGAACGTGAGGGTGTGTGGATCGGTTTCCGTGCAATTGGGCTGGTTTAAATGAACTACTGAGTGTTTTGAAAGTCGTTATCTCTGGTGGCAGGAGGCTGCATCCCCTGACAGGCACTCGCAAATGAATACCAGATTAAAATCTACCATATCACCTCTTAGATATCTACATCTATGTGCTGTAGCTGGGTTGGGTCTGCAGTTATCTAAACATGATATGGTGAGTCAATGTTCTGTACACCATTGCAACCCTAAAATGATCTTGTTATTACCCAGAGGAGCAGTGGAATATGTTAGAATGCAAATGTCCAAATCTTTCAGACTACAAATCTATTTGACTTGTTGACCCTGCAG